CTTGTTCAGTAAATAACAAGTATGAAGAGTTAATAAGGACAGTTTGTCATAGTTACTAATTTTTTCTTGTCCTGTATGGCTTTTAATATTTGGAAGCAGCCACTGAAGCAGATTTGGCATTTCAAAGTTCTGCTACAAGTGTGATTTTATTTTAGGTCATGTTTATAGCTCTGTTTATATTATCATTTGGTTCATAATGCTGATTATAAAGCCTTGATTAAATAACTGCTGTTTGAACAGCACCATACTGTCGGACTACAAAAGTCTAGAATGAGGCCCTTAACTCTCAGAAGTTTATAACTGGCAAAATGAGAAACCAAAGCTACAAGTGCTGAGGAACTTGTAAATAATCATTGTGAGTCTTGATAATAAAGATATGGAACACAGATTTTTTGACTCTTATTAAACAATTGCTAAGTCTTGGTTTGCTTCTAAGCCTTAAAGGAAATTCGGAGCAACTTTTCCATACTCTGGAACATAGGAATAGATTATCACAAATTTCTTTGGGTTCATTCTAGAGAATTCTGAAGACACCATTATAAACCAATACAAGATAGAAAACAAAAGATTGGGATACCAGAAAAGGCCCTTTCATAATTTTCTTTTTTTATAAAGATTTTTTTTTAATTTATTTATTAGAGAGAGAGAGCACAAGCACAGGGAGCGGCAGAAGCAGACTCCCCGCTGAGCAGGGAGCCCGACATGGGGCTCTATCTCAGGACCCTGGGGTCATGACCCGAGCCAAAAGCAGACGCTTAAACAACTGAGCCACCCAGGTGCCACAACCCTTTCACAATTTCAATGGCTAAGCAAGGAAGTGTTCTCTGTTACTGCCTCTCAGAGCCCTGAGGAATGGTTAAAGACAGGGGGGAAATAAGACTGGCAAAATATTTATCTGTGGACTCTACTTCCCTACCTTGTTAATTTGGAGTGGACTCCTCTCCACAGCCAAGCTACTGATTCTGATTAAAAAAAATCACTAGCTAAAAGACTTCTACTTTGAAGTAGGGGATAATGTTGGCTGTTTCAAACCTTTCTCACTCTCCAATTCCAAGGACCGGAACCTGTAAAAATATTTACAGGTAAATATTTAATACTTAAATATTTAATTATTTTTAATTTAATTTAAAATTAAATACAATTAATTTAATTTAATTTAATTTAAAATAATTAATATTTAAATATTTAAATACTTACCTGCTTCAACAAGTTTGGGGATTAAATTCCATCTACATTCTTAGGGATATACTTTTTTTTTTTTTTTAAAGGTATTGAATGAGGTCATTTTTTTTTTTTTTAAAGATTTTTATTTATTTATTTGACAGAGAGAGAGATAGCGAGAGCAGGAACACAAGCAGCGGGTGTGGGAGAGGGAGAAGCAGGCTTCCCGCCGAGCAGGGAGCCCGATGCGGGACTCGATCCCAGGACCCTGGGATCACGACCTGAGCCGAAGGCAGACGCCCAGCGACTGAGCCACCCAGGCGCCCCAGGGATATACATTTTTTGAAAGAAATAACAGAGATCTCCAAGAATTAATATACATGACTTTTGTTACAACTTGTCACCTTTGGCACAGCATTGCCCTTATAAGAAACAAGGGACCTTCACTGGCCTTTTGCCTCTATAAAGAAATAGCAGGGGATTTCACAGAGGTTCTAGGAGTGGTTGGTTTGCTCCTAGTTGTTTGCAATGAGATAGTGTGCTAAGTCAATAGAAGGACTTTCATTCAATAAGCTTTTGTCCCATGTGTTCTACCTTATTTGGCTTTCAGCCAGAGATTTTCACATCTTGTTCATAGAAGCCAGGAGGTCCTCAAGCATTTTATTCTAACTTTTTAGAATTTTTTTTTTTTTTGGTTGCGATTGGTGATTATCTTTGATTATTAAATATATACAAAAATACATGGATATATTCTTGGGAAAATTTGTGACTTTATTAGTACATTTTATTAAGCATCTAGTGGTATACTAGGCACAAATTCTAGGGACTAAGGATTTATTCATGAACAAAGCAAATAAAAAGCCATGCCCTCGTAGAGCTTACATAGCTATTGGAAGGAGAAAAGCAAATATAATAAATAGGGAAATTACATGTGCCAAAAGGCGATAAGTGCTCTCAACAAAAATAAGATGAGGCAGATCAAGAATGCTAGTAGAAGGAACTGCAATTTTAATTTGGGCAGTCAGGGTAGGCCTCACTGAGAAGTTACCATTTGAAGAAAAACTGGAAGGAAGTGAAGGAATGAGCCATATATATAAATAGGGGAAGATCGTTCTGGGCAAAGGGAAGAGCTAGTGCAAAGACCCTGAGGTGGGTCAGTGTATGTACATTTGAGGTACAGCAAGGAGATAGGTCTGGCTACATTACAGTTAGCAAAGGGGAGAGTGAGACCAGAGAAGTAGGGGTGGGAGATATAAAGGTCTTTGGCTTTTACTCTAAGAGAAATAGGAAAATATATGGGAAATCTTTAAACAACAGAGATATATGTTGTCAACAAAGCATCCCTACCTCCTAATCCCATACTACCTAGAGATTGCTGCCATTTTGGGTCATGTTTTTTCAGAAGTTTTTTCTATGTGATTATATACATAGATGGGTATATATAAAAACATGTCGGGGCGCGTGGGTAGCTCAGTCGTTAAGCATCTGCCTTCGGCTCAGGTCGTGATCCCGGGGTCCTGGGATCGAGCCCCGCATTGGGCTCCCTGCTCGGCGGGAAGCCTGCTTCTCCCTCTCCCACTCCCCCTGCTTGTGTTCCCTCTCTCTCTCTCTGTCTCTCTCTGTCAAATAAATAAAATCTTTTAAAAAAAAATGTCTTTTTGTTTTGTGAGGGTGTGCACGTGTTAGTTAGCAACTTGCTTTTTACAATTAATATATCTTGGAGATCTTTCTTGGTCAAGACAGTACCTATATTTCTACCTCGCTCTTTTGAACTGTTGCAGAATATTGCACTGTATGCCTGTGCTACATCCAACCATATCCTTATGGGTAAACACTTGGGTTCTAATTCCATTGCTCCGTTCCTACTTTTCTTCTCCTACTCCCTCCTTTGACCTCTCTCTTCCTTGTGACCTTCCTTCCTTTCTTCTTTTCTTTTTTTTGCTGCATTACTATTGTCTTACTATGACATTTAACAACATAAAATTACATTACATGAAACATGGGAGAAAATTTGAAAGTAAAAGTTTGTGTTACCTTCTGTCAGAAAAGCAATATGTGTTTCCTTAAATTGGAATCACTTAGATTTGCCTCGGTGGAAGAGAGGCTTTAGTTATTCTTAAGCAAAGATTTATCTAATGCTTATTGTTCTGGAACACAGGGGAGTCATGAGAGCTTGAGCCCAATTACTCGGAACCTTGCTACGGGTTCACTGGGTCATCTTAGCCAAGTCGGCAATGGGTCTACATCAGTAGGAAGTGAGGATCCAGGATCTATAATCTATGCTGGGTTCTCCTTTCTCCCCTACCTACCGCCTGAACCAATATGGTATTCGGCCAGCTCTCCTGTTAGGTCATGTATGTTAGTCTTGTCTACCCAACCCGTGGGGGGCAGGTATTGTGTCATACATTCCTTTTTTCCCCCAACAGTGTCTAGCTGATTCTTAGAATCGTGGTTATTTATTTTTAATGCATGTCTTAATTATCTTTAAAATTGTATTTGCGAAGTTAGCTCTATTTGGTTTAGAATAAACCTTGGAAATGGCAAAATGGAACTAGAGGGTATTATGCTAAGCAAAATAAGTCAATCAGAGAAAGACAAGTGTCATATGATCTCACAGATATGTGGAATTTAAGAAACAAAACAGAGGATCGTAGGGGAAGAGAGGAAAAAATAAAACAAGATGGAACCAGAGAGGGAGACAAACCAGAAGAGATTCTTAATCATAGGAAAAAAACAGGGTTGTTGGAGGGGAGGGAGGTAGGGGGATAAGGTAACTGGGTGAATAAAACTTCCGCATCTCTATGGATTTAAATGTACCATTGAGGGACGCCTGGGTGGCTCAGCTGGTTAAGCGTCTGCCTTCAGCTCAGGTCATGGTCCCACAGTCCTGGGATCAAGCCCTGCATCAGGCTCCCTGTTCAGCTGAGAGCCCGCTTCTCCTTCTCCTCTGCCTGCCGCTCCCCCTGTTTGTGCTCTCTCTTTCTGTGAAACAAACAAACAAACAAACAAACTCTTTAAATAAATAAATAAATAAATATACCATTGATTAGGAAGTTTGTAACTTTGCACTGGTTGCTTTTTACCTTTAGGCCTTGCTTAATACAGATTAATTGCACTACTAGTAGAATGCACACATGCCTTGCTTAATTACATTCCAGGCAACATACAGGTACCTCTGCATTGCCCATATGCTTACATCACAGCAAATGGTCAACTGTGCAATAACTAGGAAAATTATCACACAGGATCACAGTAATATCACATAAATAATTTTTCACCCTATTATTGTCCTATTATTTCACTTGACATCATCATGTTTTCAGAATATGAAATACCTATTTAGTATGGTCTTACCTTCCTATTGTATTTCTGGATTAGAAAAGCTAACATTGGGGGCGCCTGGGTGGCTCAGTCAGTTGGGCAACTGCCTTCCGCTCAGGTCGTGATCCTGGAGTCCTGGGATCAAGTCCCATGTCGGGCTCCCTGCTCGGCGGGGAGTCTGCTGCTTCCTCTGATCCTCCGCCCTCTCATGCACTTTCTCTGTCTCTCATTCTCTCTCTCGAATAAATAAATAAAATCTTTTTTTTAAAAAAAAGCTAACATTGGAAGGCTAGCATGTTCTAAATATAGCTGCTCTCTCCTCTTCCAATCTCTGGTGGGTCTTTGCCCTGAAACCTAAGGCTGTCTTGTTTTGGTTTCTTTCACTTCCTTTCAAATGTGATCTCTTCCTGCTGGCACTTTTTTTTTTTTTTTTTTGCCAGAAGGCAGGGCCTATGAGAGGAGACCCCCGATTTCGTCAGAGCTAGCGAGAGACAGGAAGTTTACACAGAACAGAACTATTTGCTAGGATTGGTTTTGATCTTTCCTCAAGTTGTTGCTAGTGTTGGAGATGCTGTCGTCAGGATTCTGTTGCACAGAGAAAGATAAAAATACCTCTCCAAAGCGTGCCTTTTTCTCCCTTTCCCATCCCCTTGCCAGGAACGCCACAAAAGGATCCCAGGCGGATTGGAGGCATTAGGTCGTCGGTTTGAATCTCAGTGGTCGAGAAAGAAGTGTGGGTAATGCCCGGTTCATGGGGGAGAAGAAAGGAACATATGGAGATAGGAGAACTGTTCATTTCTCCCTGGCCATTTCCTCAAGGCTAGTTTCTTTGGAAAGCCTTTCCTTCTGGTCGTTGCAGGAGCTCGCTGAGGGGCTGCATTTCCTCTCTGATTCTTTCTCTTGCCCCAGAGGGCCGGCAAAAGGAAGCTCCTGGAACTTTAAGGGACATGGATCTGGGGCTGAAGTCTCTATAGGAAAACCTACAAGGATAGAAATCTCCGCATCACCCTGCCCCTCGGCCAAGGCTGGGGGCTCTTTCCTTCCAGCATCACACGTCGTAATTGAAGTGAGTTGTCTTTTTATTTTTTCAATGAGTAGTTCTGAGTAGAGAATCTTGGTTCTTTTTTGGTGTGCTCTTTAACAAATGTGTCACTTAAACCAGTACTAATCATCCTTTACTGTGAATATGAATCACTTGGACATTTAGTTAAAAAGGTAGCAGAATTCCGTGGGCCTGAGACTCTGCATTTCTGACAGGCTTGCAGGCAGCCTCAGATCTGCTGGTCAATGAACCATGCCTTGAGTAATAAGGGCTTCAATCCTCTAGGGTTTTTTTTGCTTTGGGGGGAAAAGGATTGGGGGATGCTGGTGGAATGAAGGTATTAACCAAGTCTGTGATTTATGAAGAGCACCCGAAAAGAAAATCAGTCACCATCCCTGCCCTGGTTGTATCTGCTTAATGGACTATCTAAAATTTGGGGTTTCTGTTCAACAGTTCCTAGATGTGGTAAGCCAAGTCACCCCAAGTGAGAGAGAATGTTGGGCCACTCCTTACACTGCATGGGTCACTTTGAGCAGAGCCAGAAATCTTTTTTTAATTTTGCAGTTTAGGGGATTAAGTGTCATATCACACCTCAACCGGTAGAGCTAGTGGTCACTTTGAACATTTTTGTTTCAATTTAAAATTATACATGCTCAAAAAATAACTGGTGTCTTCCACCTACCATTTCGAGGTATAAAGATTATAAGGCATATGAATCTATTACATGGCTGAACGTCAGTTCAAGTAAGGAATATAATTACCATGTTTTGTTTTCTTAGGAGAGGCCTTTAAACTCTCCTGGGAGTAGCTCCCTCTCTTAAATGATTCACATTTATCTGAAAGTTGCTTTTAATCCAAAAGAGACAAGCTAAGAGGAAAAAAATGAATAGACAGGAAGTCTACCTATTCTGTCTGTAGTTGAGGGGAGAAAATAGCAAAGGGAAAAAAAGGGGGGGAAAAAAAAGAGTGTGGTGGCCTGGGATGTCCTCGCTTCGCGAAATGAATGAAAGAAACCCCAGCACAGAAATAGAATTCTTACCCACACACGCTGGGAATCCTTCCAGAATAGTAGCTCATGGCTTCGTCAGCCGGAGAAATATGCTTGAAACAGAATAAATTATAAATTGGGTTGTTGGTGATGAATGAACATGCTGAAACTATTTGTCATTAAGTTGAAGAGTTGCACTGGGGTCAAAGGTCCAGGGAATGCACAGGCCTGGTGAAGCACAGTAGGAACCCATTGAACCATCCCAGAGAGAGGAGAATTGCTTCTGTTTGAAATAAGCTTCAAATAACATTCCTTTCTATCATGGGGTATCACCAGAGGTGTTACTTAAAAATTTAACAACCTGTGTGGCACAAACCTTGACCAATCAGTACAGAAGTTGTTGTAAACGGCCCACACAACAGCAACTGCTAGGCAGGAGGAATGTCCGGGACTGAACATTGGCCGAAGCTGTTAATAGGTTTTTTCTTTTTTCTTATAAAGCTTTTTTTTTTTTAAGATTTTATTTATTTGACAGAGAGAGAGAGAGAGAGACAGCCAGAGAAGGGAACACAAGCAGGGGAAGTGGGAGAGGGAGAAGCAGGCTTCCTGCAGAGCAGGGAGCCAGATGTGGGGCTCGATCCCAGGACCCTGGGATCAGGACCTGAGCCGAAGGCAGACGCTTAATGACTGAGCTACCTAGGCGCCCCTGTTATAGGTTTTAATTAAACTTTTCTAGGGGAGAAATGGTAAAGCCACAGATGAGTTCAGGGATATTAATGGTATTCCTACCACCATCTGCCAAAGCTCTGGCACCATTTTCTCAGGTGAGGCTACTTTCCTCTGTTCTCTCCTATCAAGCCCAGAGCAACCTCTCATTCCAGCTGTGTATCTCTTGCAACCTACACTAAAGAGAAATCTCTTGAGTCACTGGAAGACTCAAAATCCTATCCATTTCCTTTGTAGAAGGGAAGATGCATATATTCTGTTGTAAGGAGTTACAGCAAGAAACCTGATCACCATGTTATCCTTCCATACAAAGCATCATCGCATACGTTATCCCACATGATTTTCACAACCATCACAGGGTGCGGCTCAAGGGGCTTATTATTCTAACGTGTTAGTGAAGAAATTGAGACTCTGGTTAAGCAATTTCTTACAAGGCACAGAGTTGGTTAGTGAGAGTTCTGGATTTGAACCCCAGCCCAATTGCTCCAAGGTCAGGTTTATCCTGTAGTTTCTTCATCCTCTCAGGACCTTTGGCAACATATAGTGTTTTGTATTAGGTCTGTTTTCTTTTTATGTCATACTTCGAAAACTTTGTATGTTAAAAAGAATTTGTATGTTAAAAAGAATTCTATTTCTACTAATTTGTCAAAATTATTCTCGTGCTTGTCTTAAGCTTTGTCTCCGTTAAGGCTTTTACTCTGCAGGAATAAATGTTTTAGAGCAGTGGGTCTCAAACTTTATCATGCTTAAAAATCACCCGGGGAGCTTGCTAAAACTCAGATACCTGGGCCCCACCTCCAGAGATTCTGATTCAGTGGGTCAGGTCCCAGGCATAGAATTTGCATTTACACTTGTAATTTACATTATAATTACATGTGCTGGGCTATCTCTGTACGTGTTTGCCCCTTTATTACTAGGTCTTGCTCAATTCATAATTATATCTCATAATAGAAACACGAACAACAAGAATTCACCCAGATAGCAAATACCCTTCTTTGATGTAGGTGTTACGCAGGGCTTAATCATGAGTCAAACATGCTCTTATGTGGGTTTGTGTGAGTCGATGTCCCAGGTCATCAGCTAGCACTTCCCATCAAGGGGAGGGAGAGCAGATGATGCTGAGAAGTTGGCAAGGGTCTGGTCACTCAGGGTTCCAAGGGTTTGGACTGAACAGTGATATAGTGATAGTTTGAAGCTAGGGAGTGCAATCACAATTACATTTTAGGAATTTTCTTGCTGCAGTGTGGGGGCTAGTTTAGAAGAAGGTGAGGCTATAGGCAGAAGCTTTTTGACTGAACTGTTGCACTCATCCTGGAGACAATAAAGGCTTGAACTAAAAGTAGGGTAAAGCTCAGAGCAGCTCCCATGGCTCAAGTGAGGGAGTAGAGCATATGTCATGATGCAGGAAATATGATCTGTATTTTTTTTTTAAAGATTTTATTTATTTATTTGAGAGAGAGAGAATGAGAGATAGAGAGCACGAGAGGGAGGAAGGTCAGAGGGAGAAGCAGACTCCCTGCTGAGCAGGGAGCCCGATGCAGGACTCGATCCCGGGACTCCAGGATCATGACCTGAGCCGAAGGCAGTCGCTTAACCAACTGAGCCACCCAGGCGCCCGAAAATATGATCTGTATTAAAACTCCTTACCTTACACCTCTTCTCTATATCAAAACTCCAGGGAGGCCGAGGACTGAGCCTTGTAGCCCCAGCCCCTAGCTCCCGGTAGGTCCCTGATGGATGTTTGGTGAGTGAATGAGTGAGAGAGAATAAATCAAATCCCCCTCGTGGTCTACAAGTTTCTGTCATCTGGCCCTTACTTACCTCTCCAACCTCAGCTCCCTCCTCTCTCAACTTTATTTTGGTCACACTGGCCTTCCTTCAAGCCTTTGAAAATGCACAACTGTGACCTAGTCCAAAGAGTGTCAAAATACTGCCTTTGGGGCAAATCTGTCCTATTACCAATTAAGATAAAGTTTTATTGGGACACAGCCACAACCATTTGATTATGTACTGTTTATAGGTACTTTAGTGCCATAATAGCAGGGTGGAGTAATTGTGACAGAGATCACAAGGCCTCTGAAGCCCCAGATATTTACTATTTGGCCCTTTACAGAAAAAGTTTGCGGATCCCTACTCTGGTTCTTCGAAACTGCTGTGACCTCTGATTTAGAACTCTAACCTCAATGAAATTATAGTAATCAAAAACCTGTGGTAATGGCATAAAGAAAAACATAGAGACCAATGAAATAGAATAGAGAGCCTCCAAATTAACTCTCATGTATGCGGTCAAATGATTTTTGACAAGGGTGCCAAGACCTTTATCTTATACCATATACAAAAATTAAGTCAAAATGAACCAAAGACCTAAACACAACAGCTAAAAGTATAAAACTCTTAGATGAAAACATAGGGGAAAAGCCTCATGACATTGAATTTGGCAGTGATTTCTCAGATATAGCACCAAAAGCACAGGCAGCAAAAGAAAAACTAGATACATTGAACTTCTTCAAAATTAAAAACTTGCATGTCTCAAAGGACATTTATTAAGAAAGTGAAAAGACAGCCTACAGAATGGCAGAAAATATTTGCAAATCATATATCTGATAAAGAGTTAATATCTAGAATATATAAAGAATTCCTACAGCTCAACAACAAAAGCCAAACAACCCAATTATAAAAGGCCAAAGGACTTGAATAGACATTTTTCCCAAGATGATATAAAAATGGGCAAATAAGTATATGAAAAGATGCTTAACATCACTAATCATGAGGGAAATATAAATCAAAATCATAATGAGATACCACTTCATACTCACTAGGATGACCATAATAAGAAAAAAAAAAAAAAGGAAAATAACAAGAGTTGGCGTGGATATAAACTGGGACCTTTGTGCTTTGCTGGTAGGAATGTAAAGTGGTGTAGCTGCTATGGAAAATAGTTTGGCAGTCCCTCAAAGATTAAACATGGTGTTACCATCCGATCCAGCAATTCCACTTCCGGGTATATACTAAAAGAATTGAAAGCAGGCACTCAAATAGAGATTTGTATACTTTTATTCATATCAACATTATTCACAGCAGCCAAAAGATGAAAGTAATTCAAGTGTCTATCAATAGAAGAACACCACAGAATGTGGTATATGTTTATATTGGAATATTCGTTTTTAAAAATTCTGACACATGGCTGAATCTTGATGACATTATGCTAAGTGAAATATGCTAGTCATCAAAGGACAAATACCGTATGCCAAGTACACTTAAATGACATACCTACAGGAGTCAAATTCATAGAAACAGAAAGTGGAATAGT